TTTTTTTTTTTTCGCTCCCTTTCCCTTCTCCTCGACAGCGCGTCTTTAGATCCTCCCTCTCTTCACATGATATCACATTCACATTTGACCCTTTTTTTCGTCTTTCTTAGTTCCCCTCGACCTCGCGGTGGGCTTGGTGATTCATCTTGCATCACCTCATCATTGAGAGCAAACGAAACTCTTTTCTTCCCGGGTTCATTCGGCTGCTTCTGTTGTAAGTAGGTCGACTCTGGCGCATGCTGCACCGCCAGAGCTTTATTGGGCACCTCTGCTGGTGGTGATAGCTCCCTATTTCCCAGGCGCCCATTTACCATACTGCTTTCCCCCCCTTCGCGCGGCGAAAATCCCACACCCACGTCTATAATCTCCGTAATATTATCGGAGCTGTGCTTCTCTTTGAGAGAGGCCTGTTGATTTTCCCCAATAACAGCACTCGCACACCTCCATTCGGAGGAGACCTGACCACCCTTGCTGTTAGGGGTGGGACACACCAAGGCACTAGGCGGCTGGGACGCTACCGCCGCCGCGCTTGGGGCAGCGTCGGTCATATCCTTTTGGTTGGAAAGTGCGCTCTCCACATTCACTTCACTTACCCTAATGCGAGCATACCCTGTTTCCTCTTCCGTTCGTGGGGAGGGCGGCATCAGGCGCGCTGCCAAAGTGGGGCGATTCACACTCAGGTTCACAGCCTCAGGCACGGGAACGACTGGAAGTGGAAGAGGCGATGGAAGAGGGTCTTCACCATTCACTCTTTTTGGTGGTTTTCTCTCCAACGAACGGCGACGATAAGCGTCCCTGTTAGGGCCCATATCTTGTCCAGATTGATTCTGAGGATCCACACGAAAGTTTGTCCCTTCTTCCGGCTCCCAATCCAGGCGCTTATTCGGTGGGTAGCCGCGGCGCTCGATGGCGCGTTCCATGAGGGATGCCAGAAAGTCATAGCTTGGCTCGTCCTCGTAACGTAGGGTCTGCAGGTGCGCCAAAAATGGTCGGAACTCTCGAGGCAAGTTTTGAACAAGCCCAGGGCCAATTACTTCCTCCTTGCAGCGACCAATATCCTCCTTTTCCTTGTATTTACGCCAGGGTAACGTCCCCGTGGCAAACTCGATCAGCATGAACAAAAGACTCCATATATCATCTACACGACCCAACTCCTGCTGGTAGTGGGAGGACAAAGAGGCATAGCGGCTCGTCCCACGAAAGCCAGCGTTCTCGCGCGGAGGGCGCACTTCGCCGTTAAGACGACGGTAACGACGGGCCAACCCAAAGTCAATGAGGTAGCATGTTCGTGGATCCGATGTTTCCTCCAAACCAATCACAAAATTCGATGGCTTAATGTCGCGGTGTACCAGTCCCAATTCGTGAACACCCCGAATGGCCTGCAAAGACGATAAACCAATCTTCAATACCGTGTATGCGCTGAACGTCCCAAGGGGTGTCCGTCGGCGCAGCTCCGCTAGATTGGGTCCCAGTCGTTGCATCACTAAAAAGCTCATGCCACCTGTGCTTCCACTCCCCAAGTAGCGTGCCACTTGTTGACAAGGCTGCAACTTCTTGAGGGCGGCGGCTTCTACACGCAAAACATTCTTGTTCTCTTGCTCCACCTTGATGCAAACCTCTGTTTTATCAGTGAGGATAATATTGCTGTGGGACATAGCCACCGCGTCGTCCGGCATGTCCTCCTCCTCTCCGCCCTCCCTCTCCCTATTCACCTCAACAGCCGTGAACGTCTCACCAAAGGATCCGGCACCAATCCGACCAGTGATGATCCACCGCTTCAAACGCATACCTACGGTAACTCGTGTCTGCGCCACTTTGGGTGCGGCCTTGCGTCGCGGGCCAGACCCATTTTGTTTCCCAGGCTTGTCAACAACAGCCTTTTCACGTGGTGCAGCCTCCATCTCAGCATTGTTATTCCGCTTCTCTTCACTGGAAACCCCATCTGGTGGGGTATTATTGTCGAAAGAGGGAGGCTGAAGCGGGCGCTTGCGCGATGCATGGCCTTCCATTGCCACACTCCGATCGCCTTCTCCCATGCCTAGCATTTTTCTGTACATGCCACCTCCCTTGGGTGCGGAAATGCCTAGGAGAGTAGAGAGCAAGCAAAAAGGAAACTAAATGGTGTGAGGTAAGAATCATCTTTAGTGCTGCGCAACACCCCTATATATATATATATATATATATATATATATCCCAATTTTGTGATCGCTCACTCGCTTAATAATGCATTGTTTGATACTCTCGTTCTCTGTCTACTTCTATTTTCCACACGCACTGCAGTTTATTTTTGCTTTTCTTTCTTGCTCACGCGGAGACTGCTTTAAGACACAGATGCTATCAGCCAATAACAAGAAGTATTGACTGAAATACCTGTGAATCATCTAGTACAAAGTTTCTACCCGCCCGGCATTCCGTTCGGCCATCCAATCAGCGGACCCTGGGCTTCGCCAGGCTATTTGACAGACTTTTCGGTTTATGTGTGAAGGCGCTTCGGTGTGTTTCGCTCCGTGCAGCAGACAACGCTTCTGCCCGCTTCTGCAATCGAACGTCGCGTGGAATAATGGGCACAGGCGACTCGCCTACAATAAGCGATTCGTGGTCCTGCACGAACTCTCGCAATCCGCCAGCCAGTACCGCCACGTTGTCGATACCCTTTTCAAAAATGATTGTGGCCACGTTTTGCCCAACTGTCAGTTCCTCCTCCAGGTCGTATACCACAATTAACTTATTCTCCTTATTTTTGAACGCAAACATCTCTGGGAGGAACGGGTTGGTTGCATGCACCATCTTTCGCTTGGGATAGTGCAGCGCCCCCTCAATGTGGCAGGCTGCGTACTCCTCTTCTGATCGCACGTCTAGGATGAGATATTCCTTCGCCGGCCTGGCGTTGGCTGGGCGGTACTCGTCCATAGGGTGAGCGAAGCCGCCGTCCTCCACAGCCTGCGTCTGTTCCTGCGCCTGTTGCAGCTGCACAATGTAGTCCGCCACTGCCTTGGAGCGGATGCGCAGAAACGCCTCGCCGGGCTGACGCTGCGTGACGGCGCTCGTCTGCTTTATGAACTGCGCCAGCTCCGCTGTTAGCCCAGTCTCGACAACGGCCTTTACATCCTTGTACTTTGGGTTTGGCGGCGTCTTCCGCCGGAGCAAGTCCTTGTCTCCAATCGAGTCTCGGTGAAGCATCTTTTCACCTGCACCTTGGCGCAAGCAGGAAACAAGGCAGAGCAAGAGGGCACAGTGAAGGCGACTGAGTGTGCATTAGCCGGATCACGTTGAAACAGTCGAGGGGCAAGCAACACCGGCTGACGCATCCCCTCCCTGTTTATCAACAGAAACAACAAAACTAAATAACCTCAAAAGGCGAAAAAAAGGGATTCTCCGGCGAGGCTTCTCCACTCATTACAACTCGCATACCGATAACGTTTTTGATGGAACTACGTTGGGCTTACAGAGAACAAAATAATGACGAGTTGGAGCTGCGAAATTAAAGCAAATAAACAAAACAGACACATTGCGAGGGTGCCTTGTATAAAAAGAGGCACCGCAGGAACCATGCAGTGGGATAGCTTACCGTGGAGGCGAGCAGCGACTCCCAGCTGCCCCACTTGATTAGCTTCATACACGACTTCAATTCCCTCAGTTCTGTTAAGGCGGCGTCAACGCGTTCCAGCACTGCCACGCAGTGTGGCCAAGGCACCAACGCTCTTCAACAAAGCAACACCGACTGAGAACCAGGCCCTCAAACGTGTCTACAAATGACAACTGGAACACGCTGCCCAAGACCATTACATCACCACTGCTAGTGTCCGCTGTCCTCGCCAAAGCCCTCTCAACAACACATCGCAAACACTCATAGTGCTGCTGCATTCAGTCGCGTGCCATACACATCCTCTCACCAGACCGATCGCATTCATTTCTCTTCTCCTCCACCAGAATGGTGCGCTCCGCAGGTGGCGAAGCCGACACGCTGCACGCCCCACCCCACCCCTAGGCACTTGCGCTTCTTCGCACAGTGCACAGTGCGCCTTGCTCCAGGCCATGCGGCGCTCATTTCCACGCCAACGAGTCACGCACTTCTACAAACAGATTGCAACTCCCACCCTCAAGAAAAATCCAACAACAGCAAAAAAAAAAGGAAGAAAACGCACAAATTCAAACCACATTTTTTCTGCCGATTGTCTCACTGCAAGCCCCCCACGAGGAAATGAAACACATCCGCCAAAAGGGCAAAACGAATCTAGTTGCCCCACCGACGTACACCCAGGAAAATACATGTGCAGGGCTCTTTCACACAAAAAGATCTTATTCATTCTCTACATCTCTCGGTTTGAAGAAAAAATCCGTGTAGAGGGGTCCTTCCTCCGGGAGGTCACAACAATGCACAGCATTCTGTGCACGATCCACACCAAATACCGCGCGGATCGACTTGGGCCGAATCGCCCTTGCTATGGCAGGATCAAAGGGGCCACATATCTCACGCGTCAATGATACAACGTCGACATCATCGTCTAGTGACACAAACTGAACAATCCACACGGGACCAGCCATTGCGTGCGAAGTCGCTCCAAAGTCAGGGAGGACTCCTTTGTACGGCTGAAGGAACTCGTCAACGACGCGAGAGGAGAGTTCAGCAAGCACAAAAGCAGTCATCTCAAGCCCGGCGTCGATGAACCGCTGAATGATGCTGCCGCCGGCTTGAACTCGTAGAGCATGCGGCTTCACAAGTACTACAGAGCAGCGGTAGTCACCGAAAACAGCAACCGGGTTGCGGCTCGCCTGAAGCAAAATCTGGGACCACGCTTTCGCTTCCTCATCATTGCTCGCAGCGCGAGCCCCAGTGGCTCGCTTTACATAATCCAGTCCCTTCTCAATAGCATCGTTACGGGCACATTTTGCCACGACGACGCGTCCTCCTACAAGATCCTCAGGCAGACCAAACCTGGCTGGTGCGTCGGCTTCCACCCAAGCCATCTGCAAAGAAGAAATAGTAAAACCGCACTCTTCCGTGAGAATAGCTAGATAGTGACCCACTTGCGGGAGCTGAGCTTCTCCAAAAAGCACTACAGTACTCTCACTCTTCTTTTCGCACAGTTCTCGTGTTACCTCATCAGCATACGCAGTGAGCGTGACAATTCCACCAAATATCGTCAATACGGCGCCAAGGGTGAAGTCGTCCTTCTTCAAATGCGGAAATGGTGTGCGTTTGAGGTGCGGTACGTTCTTCGGCAACTCCCTCATCTCAATGGAACGATCTTCATAGTAGAACAGCAGGACATAGCGACGTACAAGACGAGATATGTGGTCATCCTGCTCACAATAGAACGCAAGACGCGGGTCTTGCTTTGAAAGCGCCATGCGAGCAAAAAACAAAAACCTTTAATGTCCACGCCAGTATATCCTTCTTTTTTCTTCTTCCTCAAGTAGGAGTCTTTGGAGTTGCCCTTTCCTCAGATCCATAAAGAAGCAGTAGTAAAGAGAAAGGAAGACACACCGACTTTCCCCCAGCCATATTAGAGCCTGAACGGCAACGAAGGACACATATTCATCAAGCCCTCGCCACAGGTAAAGAGGTGTCGTCTTCACACACCCCTGACACCAGCACCCCGACACAACAAGGGAACAAAGGGAGAGTGGGAACGACAAAAGAACTGAAGATATATCGTCTTTCTGCTCTCAAAGACCGCAATTCACTCAAAAAATTCCCAAGAGAAACAATTTGGTCTATAAGAAATAATAATTTGATCGAAGGACTCTTGCCCCTTACATCGTCGCATACCATTCAAAGCCAACACGAAAAAGCAATGTGAACGGAAAAGGCGTGAAGCTCCCATATCACGAAATAAATAAATAAATGTATACATATATGTATATATCTATTTATAAAGAAAACGCAATACTCTTCGTCTAACCAAAAAAAAAAAAAAGTTTCTTTCTTTCCTTCCTTGCGTGGTTTCTCACGCAGTCAAATGCTAGACGTGTATACAAACGGCCCAACTGTGATGAGCACCACCTTCAGTGCGTCACTTACCCCTCTCGCCTCGGCTCTTTCCCCCTCAGAATAAACCTTGAGTTGCTTCCATGCAGCAGAAATGATGTCCTTAATGGCCTGGAAATCAGTATTTTTCTTGCTGCTCCTGCTGCTGCCGCCGCCACCGCCGACATGCTCCATCCCTCCAGCTGAAATGCTAGAATGGCTGTTTCCAAACTTCGCAATGCGGTACCACGACTCAAATTCGTCCCAGCTAGGAGCGGTCTCCGATGTAACGAATTCCTCTTCCTTATTCCGGCGAGATTCATTGGAGTTGTAGTGGTAATACTCAAGTTTTACCAGCGCCTTCCTCATTACCTGTTCTGCGAACTCCTTTTCCAGGGCTAAGTGAACCAGATAATGAACGCTGATGTTCTTTAGCTCCACTATAAGCAATATATTACCGTCCTCATCCTGCATAACCAAATCGGCGCGGGCCTTCTTGCGATCGTCCGTGACGAATTCACCCTTGACGCGGAACCGGTCACGCTGACCAAAGAGATCAATGACCTGCTCCAGCACGTTGTGCAAGGCGATCTTGTCACCTGCCTCATTTATGGCAGCAGGACCCGAAACGTCTGCCACGTGATATTCTCTGCGCCGGTGGGTGTACGCGCGCAACGCGGTGTCCCAAATCATCCTCGGAAGCTCCGCTCTGTCAAGGAGCCTTGCGACCGAAGCGGTGACGGCGCCATGAGAAACAGAGCTGTCGAGACGCATGGCTTCCAAACCTCGCGCCGTTTCTTCGATCAAATTAAGTCGTGATTGTGCCATGGGCTTCTTGCTTTTCCCCCCGCCTTTTGATTCTCTTCCTACATACAACCGAAGGAAAACACCAACGATAGTCATCTAAGAGCACTGCAGCAGCCCCAACGCGCGTCACACAGCGTCTAACAGTGCTGCTTGGGGAAGTGGACGACCGAGAGGACGGACAGCTGCTCCGCAGCACACACTGCGGCTTCCAGATGCCGCGCGGCCACTTCAAACGGGACACCCTGGGATAATGGTAATGCTGCTATTCCATCTTTGCCGCCCCCTTTCTCCCCTAACACATATATCAGGCAAGAAAGAATGAAGAGAGGACACTAAATGTAACACGCACACGCACACACTCAGAGGGTTTGCATTGCATCCCATGACACATGGTATTATAGTCACCCCATACGAAGAAATGTCTTGTTCCTGCATCTATATTCTACGCGTGATGATATGTATGTGTGTTAGTACAAAGCTATCTAGCTGCAGAAGAAACAAAAATATCCACAACAACCAGCACACCCCTTGACAACCTATTTTCTTACCTTCTTGAGCATCTTGCTTAACCGATCGTGCTCCATGGTCTCCCGCCGCAGTTCTAGCTCCTTCTTGTCGATCTGCCGACATAGATCCTGCACTTCGCGCAGTCGCTCCCGCCGACGTTCCGCTTCTAGTTTTTCTTCTTTCCTGTACTCGGAGAGGTCGGCGCTGATTCGCTCCGAGAGGATCGCCACTTCCCCCCTTGCTCGTTCTGTTGCTTCCCGCTGCGATTCCAATCGTTTTAGCTCCTGTTCTGTCTGAGCCTGGTACTCCGCTATGGCCGCTCGCGTCGTGGCTTCCTTTTCCTCAAACGCCACAACGTAACGCAGCAGTCGATCCGCGAAGGGTGTTGGAACCGCAGCGATATCCTCCTCTGCGAAGTCAACGCCCATTTCACGCAGCTTTAGGCCGAGGTGGATGAGACTCATGTCTACATACTCGCTTTGACGAGCGCGGTAGCACTCATCGTCGACTGGAAGTGCATCTAAATCCATTGTGTGGCACGCTCTGTTTCTTGCTTAGGTCTGAAGAACCATAAACGAGGAGAAGCAGGGGCGGCGCAAACAAGTTTGGTCGCGAAGCGATTAGAATATCAGGGAGCTGCCTCTACTGAAACCATTTCAGCTTCAACCCCTCTACCCAGCGTTAGTGAAGGGTAGAAGGCGTGAGAAATTGCCATCAACCTTGCAACAAGCGCCGACAAGCCACCCGATCAAAATAATGGCCATCACCCATCTTCATCTCAACGACTTTGCCGCTCTGCACCAGGTTTCACACTGCTTGTTCGATTTCTAGATGAATCGAGACTCACACAACGTGGGGCCTCACTGGAGGAGAGCGTTCACATCGCGAGAGCAACATACATGAGCATCACAACTGCAGTGCACACGGCTGCAAGAACAAGTAAGTTAAGCGAGGCCGAGCCACCAAAGCAAGGAGCTATCACCAACAAATGGGAGTGTGGTTCTAAAGCGCCCCATACCCGACTGCACACCCTCGCGATGGTGGACGAATACTTCCTCGCAGCAGCATATTCTCCTACGGCCATGCTGAAGGTGGACAGTGTAATGGCTACAGCAAGGCACATCACGGCAAGACGTAACCAGGTCCAAGTAACGCACCCCGGTGCTGCCGAGCGGCAGCCAAACGGACTAACCTGTCTTTCAGGAGCCTTTCATTTTCTCACCTCTTTGTGGTTATTGGCTCACTCACTCACTCTCTGCCGCCGCACATGTGTGTGTGTGTGTCTGCGTGAGTGCTAATTGCAGACGCTCTGAGAGAAATACCATTGACACTACTCACACGCACACCCCAAGGAGGAGGGAAGGAAGAAAGGAAGGAAGAATAATGGATTTTTCTTTCTTTCGCACTTGTCTTTTTTTTTTGTTACTCTTCTTTGCAACAAACCAAAAATTTAAGGCCGTCAGGTGGCGAATGAATTCGTTTTGGCACTCTACATGTCAGGCTCACTTCCCTCACTCCCGTCCTTTCCTTCTCACTCTCTCTCTCGCTCTCTCTCTCTCTGCTCAGGTGTTGAAAGGAGAGGGCTAATTGACCGCTCCTATACATGCTGCGTTTCACTTTCCCTAGACGAGGCCCCACTGCCTCTTTAGGAGTGTGTCAAACTCATTGTCCAATTGAGTCGCAAGACTCGCAGGCGTGTACCACTCAATGAGCTCCTCCATCGTGACACGCCGCTGGATGGCGCGTCGGACATCCCACGCCCCAAGGAAAGCATTCTTTTCCTCCCCGTCCTTCGCCTGGAAACGTTTGTGGAGCTCCAAAACGTCGATACCTCCAGATGTGTCCTTTGGAAACAGATCCCAAAGTCTCTCGAGCATCATCAGCCGTGCCGATGGTAACGGAGGAAGCAGCATCATCATGTACAGTAGATAGTCCACCGAGCCATCGCCCTTCGTGTCTAGAACGGCGAGAAGGTCCTGTGGATTCGTAACGTAAAGTCGCTGTTTCCACAACGCAGCCAGAAAGGTGTCCCTCGAAAGGAAGAATGCCCCGTCAGTGTCAACCTCACGCAGAGAGAGCGAGAGTTGACGGACAGCAAGTGGATCCGACATGACAGCGGGCCGATGCACATCGCGAATTAGCTTATCCATGTCGGCAACATGCTGTCTCCTCTTATTGACATCGCTCTTCTCAGCCGCGGTGAGGGTTGCCTTAAATGTTGTGTTCGCGCTATTCTGCTCCATAGCGAGTTGCACAGGTCGCTCATCTGGCGCGTCAGCCGCAACAGGCCACACACCCTGCATCAGCGTCACAAACGAAGCATCGTCGGGACACGTCCCAGCGACACATGAATAGTACTGTTCAAACTCCTGACGCGTAATGACACCTTCGGGGTTGGTGGTGGTATTGAACGTCGCCTGGAACTCCTCACGCACTTCTGCTTCCGTGCGCTCACCACACACAACAGCGGGGTGCCCAGAGGCGTTAAACACACCCAGAAGCTCATCGATCTGCACCGCACCGTCTCGGTTTTCGCTGAACAAGTACCACACCCTAATGATCCATGTGCGCTTCAATGGTGTGAGATCCCGTCGCAGTGCTGCAATGAAATCCACAGGATCAAGCGTGCCATCACCGTTCCTATCCAAGGCATACATCACCGCTTCCACATCGCCGTCGTCAAGGTGTACACCGGTGCTGTTTAGTGCCTCTACAAACTTTTCCCTCCCCAGAAGCGCACCACCGGAGTCCACCGCTATACCGAGGCTGCGGCTGAGTGCGCGGATACCGTTAGGTCCAGCTGCACTGTTAAGAAGAAGGCGCCGTGTCCGCTCGACCACCGCCTTAAAGCGTGTGGACTTCGCCCTGGAAGCGTACATCACCGCAATCAATCACTCACACTTTTACTTTCTATTTATATAGACTGCTGGGTGCCTTCCTCTCCTCACACTGTGGAAAACACAGTGAAGCCGCCTTTTTCTTTCTCCCTTCTCTTTTTCGTTTTGTAAGGATGCGAATGAGAAGACAACATACACACGCACACACACACACAAAAGAAAAAGGAATCAAACGAAAAAATAGCCACAGCCAAGCGTGAAGATACACATTTCACGTCTAGCAGGCTAGTAAGGCAGCTGCAGAGTGCCCCGGACCAAACACTGAATATTACCCATCTTCACGTGTCGCCTCAGACATATACGCACGCAATAAACGGTAAAGATCGATATGTATATAAATAATAAAGGCATAATATATACGAATAGGTTCCCCTCCCACACACACAACACGTCATACACATATAAGTCCACGTCCACTGCTTACCTGAAGGTAGTGATTGTGGAGGCTGTGATGGGGAAACCTAAAAAAAAAAAGAGCCGTATCCCACAACAGCAAGCACTTCATCGCTGTCAAACGTCTCCTTCACGAGATTTCAAGTGGTAGCACCTGCGCCACCTCCACAAATGGGCTATCGAGCACCTGAACTGAGAGCGCAATAGGGACATGAGACCGAGCCCGAGAGAGGACATATGACACATCTGCGATGGAACGCACTGTGATGCGATTGATCTGGACAATCACGTCACCAGGGCGAACAGCATGCGCTGCGGTGGATCCCGCCGGCACGGATGTCACACGCACCCCTCGCAGGTCTTTTTCATCCTGCAAGTATATGCCTAATAGTAGTTCGTGGAGAGGGAGAAACTTCTGCCTCGCTCTCTGAGAACTGCTGTGCCAACTTGGTGACGGCACTTGCGGCGTGTATAGAGTTTCATCGACTCCGTGCAGAAGCTGCTCTTCATGGAGCATGTCAAGCATATCAGTGCTGCTTTTCACCGCAGTACCCGAAACACGGGCGAATAGCGGTGTGGATAGCAATAGATCCCTGCATGAAGCTGGGTCCGCCGAGTCGAGAGCCTGTTGTACTCTCTTCGGGTCCAGATCCCAGATGCGATACAAATTTCTCAGCTCATTGGCATACTCGGCGTTGTTGCCACGCAGCAGCGCATTGGCGACAGCTTCATTTAACTCGTCATGCCCCACCTTGGTGTGGTTCAGCTTTATATCTCGTTCAATGGCGGCTGCTTCCATCACCCGCACTTGCTCCAGCGACGATTCCAAGTCCACCTCCAGACGGCGCACGCGTCTGGCAAGTGCAGTCACGACAGTTATAAATTTCTCCTCTGTCGTGCTACCCAGTTCCTCTGGATTTTCGGGAAGCTCGGATTCGGCCTCATCGCTCATTGCTATACGCTCACTGGCCTTTTGCTTGGCTGAAAGCTGTAGAACGTTACTAATGAGCTCGGCTAAGGTAGCCTGCATTTCCCGCACCTTTGCTTCCAGTACCACACACTGCGGGCACGCAACTTGCGTTTGGTGTGGTTGAGAGCACTGCTCATCTACCACACCATACTTTTGTGGTAAATAGCATTGGTCATCCGGAGTCGGGCTTTGTATAATGGCACGCTGTCGTGGCGACACCATTGCAACATCCCTTCGGTCTTCCTCCCCCTCCCCCTCTGATGCCGTAATTACCGATGTGCAGTTTTCATGCGGTTCCCTGACACTTTCCTTATTCCCCCGATTGATGCTTGACGATATGCGGGATCGCGTCGATCCAGTCGGGGACGCCGCAGCACCGACACTCTCGCTGTTGCCGTTGAGTGGAGTACCACGCTGTGCAAGAACACCTGAAGCAGCACCGTTGTGCTCTGACCAGCCATTCTTCTTCTTCTGCTGCTGCTGTTCCTCTTCGTCACCCGTGACGGGCACAGAAGTTTGTTCTTGTGATAAGATGCGCGGTGGCCGACCTCCCGTCGGCACGTCGCTGTTCTTCTGGCTCGTGACACGGCTGCCAAGTCTTGTGTTGCTGACGGAGCGGTGCCTTTCTGGTGTTCGTGATGCGGAGCGGCTCCGCTCGGTGCGTTGGCGATGCCGGCTCAAGTCGTTGTCGGCGACGCGTTGCTCATGTATGTATCTCTCCTTCATGATGGCTCCAATGAGCCTCTGGAACTCACCCGCATCAAGTGCTGATTCCGACATTTCTGAAGAACGAACAAACAAAAAGAAACTCTGGTTGCCCTTCAGCTCCTTTTCTTTTACTTCGTTTGTCCTCTACAACTTCCTTTTTGTCCGTAAAACCCTATAGAGCTGAGACACAGAGGAGAGGAAGAGTGGGTAAAAGGGGCTACAAGGGGAATAACAGAAGCACGTAACACGACACTCATTTCTACAGAGACACCACCCAGGGTGAGAGGTCACACCCAAGAAAGGAAAGCAACATTGCACATTCCTCAAGCCATTAACTCTTCTTGTACATTGGCATCTTCTGCAGTTACAGCAGCTGTCTCTTCCGCTATCGTGGCCGTAAGTGTGGGATCTAAAAGCCACCACTCGTCAATGTTGCTCATCTTGAAAACCTCAGGTGCACCGCGAGTATTAGTCTGCGTTCGTGCCGCCTGCTCCTTCTGTTCCCTCTCACTTCGTTTCGCATCTCGAATGCTCTCATTCATGCGTGCCACCCTACGGATCGGGGAGATATACATGTCCTTGTTCAACACGCCCGTCTTATTTTTGTTTAGGCTTACATAACTTTTCTGAGTCTCCTCCAAGCTTCCGATATATCCCGCGCAATTCCACGTCAAGGTGGAGGTGCACCACCCTTGCCGAATTGATCTTTTGTCATCTGAGCATTCGTCCGCGATGACGCGTGCGAGAAAATTTCGCTTTGGCGAAATGGTTCGGTTGATGGCATCAGCTGGCTGCTTTCGTGTGCTTCCCCCCGACGTGTTCATCGTCCAGAGCGGCGAGCGCACCCTTGTGCGCAGATGCGTTGTGCCGCGTACTGAGTCGGGAAATGCGGTATCGATGACGTCCACACCCTCGTAGCGCTGCAGCGCGTGCATGATGGGCCGCTGGGGGAATGGGTGCGCCTCGTCCAGCACGGACGCGTTCCACCGCGGCTGCTCCAGAGCGCGAGGGGCGCCGCGGAATCGCTCCACCTCACGGTGCCGCAGGCACCGCGCGTCACCCCTCGGCAGTGGCTCGAAGACAGCCTCGTCGCGCGCGTACGAGGTTCCGGCGAAGGTGATGCCAGGAAGGGGCACTGCACGTGACATGGCCACACCACCCTACTACTGCTGCTGCTGCTGTCGCCAGAGCGAAGGAGAAAAGAAAGAGTGGAGAATGAGAAGAAAAACGACAATAAGTTGGCGGGCGAGGATGGAAATGATACCAGCATGATCCAAGAGCAAACGTAACGGTTGTGTCGTCAGATTCTCCTTGATACTGACTGTGCATGACACAATAAAGTACGTGCTTATGTGTGTGCAGGCCCAGGTGACCAGCTTGCAATAACGACAGCTCACAGTTGTCGACTATTTCACACACACACACACACATAAACACCCGGGCGTTCACTAGAAAAATATAACACGATAACAAAAAGATCTCTCGGTATATTCTGATTAGGACGGCGACAACTTTGGCAAAAATCTTTGCAGCCCCTTGGGTAAGAAGTAACTAACAGTATGAACATTGGGTGGCACAGCCGCCTCCCTTTCCGCGCATCCCTCAGAATTAATCTTCTCATGTTTACCACCATCAGCAGAATCCTCCAGAAAAATCACATTAACAGTCAGATCCTCGCAAAGGGTTTCCTTTACTTTCGACTTGGCTGGCCGCCCATCCAGTTGCCTGTCTTTTAACGATAACTGCTCGTAGGTACTACACAAAGATGTGTTAAGCCAGAAGTGGAATAACTCAGTATCGACCAAGCGATTGCGTTGGTAGAAAATAAAGCGTAGATCACCCTGCAGCTTTGGTTCCTCCTGGAAGAGAAACAGAAAGCCTTTGGGGTCCTTCTTCGGACGGCCGAGAAATACACGCCGAGAGTCGATCTTCTCTTCACCATTTTCCTCCACAATGAAATAGACTTCTACTTGACCTGATGTTTTTATTTCAGAATCTATAGTTATCTGGTACAGCCTCAGTGCACGGAGTGGTGGAGGATTTCCTCCGAATTCTCGCACGATGCGGTCGTAGTAATGCACGTAGCGACGCTGTGAGGGAATTGTGACACCACGGCCGTCGTGTGTTCTCGCCTCACCAAAGAACCGCAACGCTGTCTCCGCGTCGGGAATGTGCTCTGGGTCAAGAGAGCGCATGAGGCATGAGATCATCACCCCAGTCCGACCTTTGCCTGCTTTGCAGTGCACAACAACTACGTTTTTAATGTCGTCCGCGAAGAAGGCCACGGCGTCTTGGACGAAATCTGTTATTACACTAATGGGGCAAGGTGCATTGTGATCATCAAACGGAAAACGCTTGTATCGGCCTTGAAAACGCTTTGGTGAGTCATACTCTGGTCGCTCCGAGCATAGGTTGTAGATGCGGTAGTGGCCGCCATGCTTACTCTCCAGGAAGAGCTCGACCTCGTCAATAGGATTTCGGTAGTACTTCTCCGTGCCCCACGCGGGGCATCCCATGGCGATGACACGTGGGGTGATGTATGTCAAGTCGAGATTAAAACCGTCCTTCTGGTATCGGCGCTTCAGCTGGCTGACCCTCGATCGCATCATCGTCAGTGCTGGGTTCTGGCTCAGCAGCTGCGCCTGGGTGGTGCCGGCCACCGGCTGACTCGTAGCAAGATTCATCCCCTCCGCCACACATGTCATAAGTTCCTGATAGCTACAGCCAGGCTCTTGCAACAAGTCGCTGTCGTTGGCCTCGGCGGGCTGTGGAAAAGCCGAACTGTCTCCGTCCGACACAACACGTGGCTGACGCGCACACTCCAGGTGATGCATCATGAGGGCCTCCAGTTCCCTTTTTGTCTTTTCCAAGTCAGCTGTCACCTCGTTTGCACCATCCAAGGTCTGTGAAAGGACATATAAAAGAGTGTCATCACCCTCATCGTCATCATCATCTAGAAGTTCATCAAGAACAGCCAAAGCCAGATACGGCGGCACAGCACCACTACTGGACGGCGACGACGAGAGTGTGGGCAAGATCTCTTCATTGCTCGCAATGTCTGAGTAATTGTGGGAACTTTCATGTTTCGGTGAGCGCAAACACCCACCTGAACAAAAACTCTTACCACAGAAAGGACAGAGGGCAGCGGTGGATCCCCACTCAATGTCCTCATCGGCCGGCGAGTTCACGGAATCCATTTACCACGGTGGCTCGTAGAAGCCGCAGCTTCACCAACCTTACCTTCTTTCAATTTAACGGGCAGTAATTGGAAAGAATCAAAACAGAAATATTTGCGTGCGCACAACTTCACAGACATACACACGTCCCTTTCATCTCGGCAGAATCAATGGTTCAAAAGTGAATGCTCGTCATCATTCTCGAGAAAATATGTTCCTTCGCGCGTTTCGAAGTGCAAACAACGACTTGATTGAAACCTCCCTTGTGCGTGCACCTACAACCCGCTCCACGCAGTTCCCCTCCATAAAAAGAAGCACTGTCGGATACGTCAAAACACCATACTCTTCCACCATTTTTGGTGCCTGTGGCCCGGGCACAAGGGCAAGCTTTGTTTCGCTCGGGTTTCCCATATTCATCGCGTTGATGGAAGAGATGAAGCTGCGCGTGAGAGGGTCCTCTGTGATTTGTGTGCTTGGTCCTCCCTCTTTTCTGCTGCGGAGGTTGCCGGAGTGAAGCATCGCCAGCACACAACACGTTTTGTGGTATTTGAGAAATTCCAAGAAGACTTTCTCGTTTGGTAGCTCCGCGATTTCGTAACCGCTGGCGGGGGGACGCGAGATCTTGCTGATCTTGGTGATGAAGCAGCACCGCCCACTTGCCCGTAACATTGCTACACCAGCACGTCCACAACTCGTGCACACGATGAAATAGAAAATCAGTGCCACCAAAAAAAAAAAAAAAAACAAGACAAGAAGGAATTAGGGCTACATGATGGGGGAGGTAGACAAGCTTCATCGCCATTTGTGGAAGATTTGAAAGAACAAAAACAAACACGGCAACGGCAACAGTAAATAGAAGTGTAAAGATCACCTATTCGTTTAGCTGTACGCCACTCAACCCTCACACACAGAAGCACATCTCTGTCTTTCCATCCTCCCCTTCCCTTTCTTACGTTTTCCACCCAGCATTCTTCTCGTATTCGGCGCGCAGCCGCTTCTCCTCTTCGGCAGACGGGTGGGGGAACATGATCATGACCCAAACAACAACGATGGGGACCAAGATGAGCTGAATCTTCAGCAACTTCTTCAGTTCCCCTTTTGCCTTCCCCTTGAAACTCTTGTCCTCAACCGAGGTTGTGTGGCTCTCGAATGCCTTTTGGAGCGCAAAACGGGAGTAGCGGAACATGCGGACACCACAAGGCGGTGATGGGCACTACGTGAGGGGGGAAAAGATGAGAGGAAAAGGGCCTCCTCGTTAATGCTCTTTCTACGTTGCACGCAAAGACAAATAAGAAAAGAAAAGGAAGATCAACAACAATACCAAAGAAACAAGATTTAAATAAGGAGATAAGCAAGGAAGCATACACACATTTACATGCGGAGAGAGAAACAGTCAATGATAGCACACGAAGTCACTAACATAGTGGGGCTCATGAATGAATGGCATTTTATCAACTTTCCGGTCAATGCAGTGAAAAAAAAAAGCAAACGAAATGATGCAAAGCCCATTTTTCTTTTCCACTGTCGGATTTTGGTCCACAAGCATAGTTTGATTTGTATAAAATATATTTGAATATAATTGCGCACGTTCATTCGTATACTCCTCACGTGATAGCATGGATGTATCTCTTACGAAGGAGAAAAAAAAAGACAGAGGTATTACATTGGCCTCAGGATCTACGGGTCGCCGACTTCGAAGCCGTCCTCGCCCGATTCAGCGTGGTTGGCGACAGCGACGGCAGTCCACCAATCACAGCACCAGTGGGACTCATGACAGCGCGATCTGTGCTTCTTCTCCCACCGAGCAGAATCGGATTAAACACACGATAAAGCCGTGAGCTCCTCTCGAGTCGCTGCCCGTTGTGCGGCACTTTCTCACCGAAGACGAGCCTTCCAAGGGTGCGAAGTGACACCATGTTTCTCAAATTGTCGTAGAATTTCCCCAAGGATCCGCAATCCAGCTTCACCATACCCTTCATAAAGTACACAAAGCTCATAATCGCAAGCTCAACGTAAATGAACACCACAACGAACGGACGAACAAAAATAATCACCATCACATCTAGTACATAGTCAAAAAAACGCAGTAGAAAACTACGTTCAAACGAAAAATGCACTTCTGGCATTAGAAGCGGCTCACCATCTTGTGGTAGGATGTACCCATTTGCCACCAGGCCTTCAATCATGTCATTGTAGCCGAGGGCGAACAGGTTCCTGTGGGCGACCGCTTCGGGCGGCCTCAGGCCCCACCACACAGGTACCAAAACTGTAGGGTGAATGGTTGCTGTGCTAAAATAGAAAGGACTGACCGAAATCGTGCGAGGCTCATCTTTGTGAGGCTGAATCGTAGCCACAGCGCCATCGCACACCCATTCCTCTGTTGCACGCATCCGGAACGGCACTCCCACCAGCGGGGCCATGCAGCACGAAGCCTTTAAAGCCTCGGCAATATCATCATACGAAAGAAAGCTGTCGACAACCTTCCGTTTCATGTGTGGAAGCGTCGTGACGAAGATCTCCAGGGAGCCATCATTTAGCATGGCTTGCAAATGTGGCTTCATCTCCAAATTTCTCATATGGCCCCCAAACAAATCCAGTGCCTCAGACAGATATCTCCGCATACAGAACAGGTTAAATAACGACGAACGGTAATGCTCACCACGCGCCAAAGCAAAATCTCGTATTTCTTTGAAGCGATAGCTCTTCGAAGCCAAGCATACTGCAACCAGAGAACCCGCACTGGAGCCACAAAACCGCACATGTCTCCCTTCTCTTGACATCTTTTCGATTATACCAGATTCGACAATAGCCTGCGCAGCGCCAAAGTGGTACATCTGAAACCAGCCTCCAGCGGAGAAGCTAAACGTAAGATCAAACTCTACACCTTTCTCGCTCAATATGTTTTCAACTGACTTTACGGACTTCTTGGACATTTTCTTAATTCTATACTTGCCACCCATCCCCCCACCCCCCAAAAAAAGAATGAAACAAAAGGTTAATTACCCAACAAGACTCAAAGATAAAAAACAAACAAAAAAACACAAGGCCACACATTCGGGCGAGGCACGCTTGTGATGCACCAAAGTGATTATAAGCGAAATAAAATTCAGATGGAATCCCCAGCGCATTGGCTACACGAGGGCCTCACACAACGGCGATGCAATTACTTCTTGGCCTTCTTGGGGGCGGCGGCGGCGCCACCCTTCGCCTTGCGCTCCGCGGCGCGGGCAACACGCTCCTTGCGGAGGCGCTCCTCGCGACGGATACGGTCCTTCTTGAGCGGGCCGAACCACTGGCTCTTCTCCTTCTTCGTCTGGAAGCGACCGTGGCCGATCTTCGAGCTCGTGTCGATGAACTTCAGCGTGATCTTCTCCGTGAGCTTGCGAGACGTCTGCGGAGCCATGGGGCGGCGCAGCGTGATGACACGGCGGCGAGGGCCCGCCACAGATCCCTTCAGCATGACGTAGTCGTTGCGCACCGTACCGTAGCCGACGAAGCCACCCATCGGGGTGATTGTCTTGGCCGTCAGATCGTACGTCGTTGTGGCCTGGTTCGGCTCCATCGAGACCGCGCGGCCCATCTGGTAGATCTTCTTGTTGAGGTGCGTGCGGTGGTGGTAACCGTGCTGACCAGCGCGGGCAACGGTGTACATCACGCGGGACGGATGCCACGCGCCGATGCACGCCACCTTGCGCAGACCACGGTGGGTCTTGCGCGGCAGGCAGGCAACGCCCCAGCGCTTCACGACACCAGTGAACCCGTGACCCTTCGTCACAGCGCACACGTCGCATGCCTCAGACTGCTGGAACACAGAGTCGATGCGGACCTCCTTCTCCAGCAGCGACTTGGCAAGCTCGATCTTCTCGGCGATGCTGCCACCGTTGATCTGGATCTCGCTCACGTGCGCCTTCTTCACACCAACGCGGTTGTTGCGGAGCTTGCGCAGCTGCGTGTGGGCAATCACGCGGATGGTGTCGGCCTTCTTGGCGAACGCCTTCAGCGTGCGCGCCTCGGCGAGGCGACCCTCGCTCGTGCGGGCGAACTGCTTGCGCTTTGTGAAGGCGAGCTGCGCCGACTGCTTCCAGTTTTTGTAGAAGCGGCGGCGGAACTCCACGCTGGTGTGGTGTGCCCACACGGTGCCGATCGTCTTGTGGCCCACAGGCGTCTGACGGTAGCCGACAATGCCGACAACCACCATTGGCGGCGCCTCCAGGATCGTCACTGGCTCAACGACCTCCTTCTTGTTCACCTTGGAGCCCGGGCGGTCAACGTCGCGCACGATGTGCGTCATACCCGCCTTGAACACCATGAAGCTGGTGAGGTGCGGCTTCTGCGAGGGGTCGTCCTTCGGGAAGGAGCGAGCACGGCCGCGAATCTGACGGCTGCGCTTGCGCGGCAGGAAGCCAAGATGGCCGTGACGGGGGTGCTCAAACTTGCAGTGAGACATGGGATTGCGCTTGGGAGTCTTCCTGGCGGCAGTGCAAAGAGAGCAAGTGGGCAGAGAGAGAGAGAGAGAGAGCGGAATGAAGATGCAAGCAGCGAATGTGGCAGCAGGAGCGGCGTCATAAAGTGGCAAGGCGCAGACTCGGGGATTTGTGGAATGTGGAGCAAAACTGTGGCTGCCAACCCTAGGACTTGTCATTTGTTGTTGCTGACGTTCGCAAGCCGAGAACCGGATAGGAGTCAAAGGACACGGAGCAAAAGCAGTCGAGAGCATCAGTAAGTAAATTCGATACACGAATGGTGTTCTGAATACTCTGGTTAGCGTCGTCGAGAAGCTCCTTCTGAGCAAGGAGCTCCCCAGAAAATTTCGAAGCAATCCTCGTCGTCTGTCGAAGTGAACTAGCGTGGATTTCCGCAAAAATACTCCTCCAGCAATTGTAGACCTGGTTATGTTTGGTCACGTGTGTAGTGTTGGACGGGTGACCTAAATCTTGAGCTGTGCAAAGGAGTGACGCGCCACTAATCAGGCCTTTTTGTTCAGAATTGGCGACTTTCACTCGAGAAGGCAGGCTAAATCGATCTGCCGTTATTGAGGGTACAGCAGCTCCATCACCTGCCGGGGCATCAGCCGCGGCTATAGACGAACTCTGCACCGTCACATGGTCGCGCAGAAAGGGAGGGATGCGAGGTCTCTTTTTGTCACCCCGAAGGGCAGCCTGTAGCGTGTTTAGCCGCATCTGCAATGAGGAAGCTCCTGAACCTGCGTTTCTTGCGTATTGCAGATCCTGCTGGTGAAGCATTTTTGTTGGTGAGATGGACGCTTTACAAGGTGCATCCTCTACAGTGGGATTGTCTTCCTGCACTGTAGGCGTAGATGGTGCCTTTTGGTGTAGTGTGGCGATGTTTTGTTTAAGTTCTTCCTCCAAAGAAGCACAGCTATTTTTCGTGGCTGAGTGGGGTGTATGGCCGTCATCTGAGTCATCCTCACCGTCCACAACGGCGGAAGTCTTGTTGGCGTTCTCCACGGGCATAGCCGCAGGTGCACACACCTTCATTAACAGACGGGAAGGAAGAAATTGTAGTGACAAAAAAGGGGTTCGCAGTGTGTGAGAGAGAGAGAAAAGGAATTAAGCAGCTTTATTAACTCAACTCGTCTTGCCGAAGCACCAGTAGCCCAACGGCCAGTTTTTCTCTCCACCTTCCTTTGCATCTTGTCCCTGCCCTTTGTGATGATGCCCACACTACTTCTTGGTATTTGTCGCCGCTTCACCAATGGGGAAGTCAACCTTCCTCGCTATCGCCGACTTGGTCATAAAGGGCCCTTTGATCTTTGTCTCTTTGAACAGACAGTGCCGCTGCAACACGGGGTCCCAGAGAACCTTCTGCACCTTGCGCCCAGTGGCATCAAGCCGCTCCACCTCCGTTTTTAGATATCCCTCCATGTGTCCTGTGTTGGCCTCACTGCGGAGCGCCACCATGTTGTTCTTAATTTTGCGCGGAATTACTTTGGGGATGAAGCCGACCATGCGCTTCTTGAGGCGCGTCTTGTATTGGCCGCGGAGCCAGAGCGCAGAGGCTCGAAACATTTCCGCTTGCTATTCGTCAGGAAGGAATTTACGTGTGCAGGTACTACAGGAGCCTCTCTTTTCACTCCACCTAACATGACAATAACAACAATAGTTGCAAGGAGGAAACAAATAAGTGTCCTGTCTTTACACAACAGGTTCAGAAAATGCATCTGTGTGTATGTGTTTGCCCAATGAAAGGAGCTAAATAGAACTTTCACACTGCGTTAATTTACATAACTGCTGTTGTAGCAACAACGCCGCAAGAGCCTTAATGAATATCCTTTTTTTTTCAGGGGGGGGGGGCTCACTCATTATCTGGCTTCCTTTTATACACACAACATGCCGACTACCTGCGTAGGAGAAATATATAGCGAATCGGCGCCTCGCTAGATTCCCGATCCCTCACTGTGAAACATCATTTTTGCTGTGCTAAGATTTGTGTTTGGCTTCTGCACAATAACCGATCTCGGTGGAAGATCCCGCACAACCCAGCAGTTGCCGCCAATGGTACTGCCTTCCCCAATCCGAACTCTGCCAAGCACTACAGCGTTGGCGTAGATGGTTACTCTGTCCTCAATAATCGGGTGACGTGGTTGCTGTCGAATCCTCTTCCCCGTCACTGCATCTACCGGAAAACTCTTGGCGCCAAGCGTGACACCTTGGTAGATGGAAACATAGTTGCCAATAATCGCTGTCTCCCCAATTACAATGCCTGTACCGTGATCAATGAAGAAATGATGACCAATAACAGTGGCAGGGTGAATATCAATGCCCGTTGTTGAATGTGCCATTTCTGTGAGAAGCCGAGTTAAGTTATTCGGAGCCCCCAAATGGTACAATTCATGTGCCGTGCGTTGGTGCCGCATGCAGCGTATCCCAGGGTAGCAGAGAACCACCTCTGAAGGGGAGCTGGCGGCAACGTCATTCTGAAAGAGAGCATCCGCATCGGTACGGAGAAGCCAACGAAGGTGCGGCAACTTCGTACTTAGGAATGCCTCCGTGATTTCCTCAGCCTTCTGTTTGGCCTCCACACGAAGAGAATTCGTTTCGACAGACATTTCGGCATCTTCGGCGTGTGGGCGCAGCACAGACTTTTCCCCCTGGCCTTCCGCTAACGGCTTCTTATACTCGTTCGAATCGTCGTGACGTCCTGTATGACCCTGAATTAAGAACGCGTAGTACAGCTGAGAGCTCAAGAGGTCAGCCATATGCGTCAGTGTCCATTGAAGAAGCGCATTACCGTCGAGGTGGCGAACATAACCATGAGCGCAATGCTTTGGCGGTATGGTGTATTCAGGAAAGACTATATATGCTATGCAGTCCATGAGCTCCGAGAGTGCGGAGATACTAATCTCGCGCGGGGGCTCTGATGTGCCCTGGTCGAGGCCAAGTGCGGTGATGGTATTGCGGATAACGTTGAGTCGCCGCATCACGACAATACTCGCATCCTGTGCAGAGGCAAAAAAAAAGAAGGAAGGAAACAGAGAATGAGATGCAGACGAAAGCACCACTCGGTAGCGGTATAGATACTCCACGGCCTGCCGTGTGGTCTGAACAATGTTTGATTCTTTCCTTTTTGTTTCCATCCCCATTCTCCTCCTCTCTCCCTCTCTCCGTTTTTTTTTTGCTGCTTCACGTTCACTGCTGGAGGTGGCTATGAACAGCGAGCGGGTACTTCTTCAGTGTGAGCTCAATCACGCCATCAGTGAGAAACGCCACATCGCTTCGTTTTTTTCTTCCTTCGGTTGAAGGCACGTCCTGAACACAGAACACTGGTTCCTTGAAGACGAGCTTTACCTTCCCCATCTTTCCAAATGCGGAGTCGATGGTGCCTTCCTTCACGCCTCTGGGGTCAACAGAAGTGACAAGATCACTTTTTCCCTCGCCTGATGTGGGGCGAAAGTGCACTCGCAATCCAATAAACTTCTGGACCTCTGCGTGCATTGCGTCCTTCTCCTTCGTCTTACTGCCGTTGCCGCCACTTGTGTATGGGGCTTCGGTATACACCACACCGCTAGCAATGCACGTTCTCTCGTTCACGACGCGCTCCACAACCAGCGCTCTCGTCTTGAAGCGGACAATTGGCAGTGTTCGCCAGAATGACGTCGACGAATCGCCCACATCGGCGGGGAGCAGCGCCCGCACGGTGCCGGCAATCGCAATGCGGCACATGTTCTCCCGCTCCATGTCGAGCCGTGCGGCGATCAGCGGTGTGCCGACAGCCGCCATCGTGGGCCGCTCCAGAAGGATGACGGCGTAGTACGTCACGGCTCCGCGCCGCAGCGCAACGGGTTGCCCAGGCCGTGGCTGCGGCTCCACTGCGGCGAATGTGAGACATGTGTCATCACCAAGCTCTTCCACATAGAGGCTCTCCTGTGCGAGGTCGAACCCGCCACCCGTGTCGTCCGCCGCCAGTGCCGTAGGGCGGCTGAAGTACTTCATAGTCGCCATCACTGTCGCATGCCCGATCGTCACGTGGAACTTCGTATGAGAGTCACACGGCAGCTGATGAAATCGTACGCGGTTCACCTCTGCAATCATAACAGACGCACTTTCCAACAACGGCTCCCCTCGCTTGCTCTGCGCATTACACAAAAGGCCTCGCTCAATCCCTTCTGAACTGAATTGCACCACACACAAACCAACACGGTCACCACGCCTAGCAAATTGCACCGGCTTGTGGAACACCTGCAGTCCCTTTACCTTCTTCACCACCTGCAACTCAGGGAGGAGGACACTGTCACCCACGTTCACCTGGCCTCGAAGCACGGTGCCGGTGAAAACAGTACCCTGTCCCTTGAGCGCAAAGCAGTGATCAAACATCATTACAAACTCCTCCGAGTGGAGCGGCGCCTCCAGCTGCTCTTTCACAGCCGCCACATCCACAAGTTCTAAGACAGCAGAAATTACATTCTCCACGTTAATAGGCTTTGGTCCATTTCCTTCTTCGACTGCTGCCGTTTCCAATGTGTCCCCACGTGGAGCAGCAGCGACTTCCACCATTGGGACAGAAGGCCAACGCGTCTGTCCAAATGTCTTTTGAAGACGCTTGCGTAACTTATCAAGAGACGCACGCTTCTCTGCCGGGTTTGCGCCCTGCACCGCATCGATTTTGTTGATCACTACTACGAGTGGCTTGCAAAGAACTTCGCCAATCACTAAACACTCCGCAGTCTGTGTCTGTATTCCTTTACTCGCATCAACGACAAGAATCATGATGTCAATGATTTGTGCCCCTCCCAGGATAGTGCGGATGAGCGATGCGTGGCCCGGGCAGTCAACAAACGTGCATTGTACCTGCTCGACCCCTGCCGCGTGCAAAGGCGGTGCAACAGTCGCCGTCGATATGCAACAGGCGCTGAAGCCAAGATCAAGCGTGATGCCGCGCCGCCGGCTCTCTGGACTCTTGTCAAACGCCGCAGTGGAGGCGGTGGAGGAGAGCACTTTGGCAAGTGATGTTTTGCCGCTGTCGACATGACCAAGGATACCGATGTTGATGTTCGCCACCAGTCGCCCCTCTGTCATCTCTCTTTTACAGCAGCAAAATGTTTTGAGTCCAAATGTCAGCCTTTGTGAGGGAGATGAACAAGGAATAGTGGATGAAGGATAGGAGAACATATGAAAAGGGAAACACAAATCAAAACAAACACCATATCATCCTCTCAACGTAACATTTCATCAATGTTACAAACGGGCACGCATGGGAGAGAAGTTAGCACGCCATACACCTTACCAACGACGGAGACCCACTTCATGAGCTTCAACCACCGTGCAGTGTCGAGATGAACTCGATGGTGTCGCCATCGCACAGCACGTAGTCCGATCCACCCAGGACATCCGCATCACATGCATTCACCAGTACGAGAATCCCTGGACGGAGCGCCGTTCCAGTGGGGTCAACAAAAAGATCAGGCCTCTCCTTCACATAGTCTGCCTTCAGTAGCTGCACCAGTCCGTTGACTGTCATTTCGTGAGGGACAACCCCGTCCAGCTGCAACGCCGTCTGCTTGTCGAAGAGCAACTCGCAGCCTCCGGCAAACTGCACGGTGATGCGTTGGTGGCACGACATTTAAAAAAACTCCTACGGCGGTTCGTCCGCGCCTTAGAACACCGCAGAATGCGGACGTCTACGTTTCCAGCGTCGCAAGCACAGATAGAAAAGAGAGAAAAATAGAACAATAGAGAAAGAGAAAAAGTAAAGAACGAAATAGGCTTATATATATATATATATAAATATATATATATATAGACAGAGAGAGAGAGATGGAGAGAGACGCGAAAACACTAAGTGATAGTACTGTTCGAGTTCTCTACAGTGTGTTCAGACAACAAAACGGTGGTGTGGCTCGCAGAGTGGGCTACCAAACGTAACACGGAAAGAAAAAAAGTATCGAAGAGAGAGGTGTCTACCGAAACAGCGTTTTCCTTCTTACACCACATAATTATATATTTTTGCTTACTTATTCAGGCGAATAAACACTTATTCACCCTCTTTTCATCCTTTTTTTTTTCTTTTTTTCTTCTTCTTTCTTCGGTTCTAACAGAATGACAACAAAGTGCGAATCCCCCTTGTTTATTTTTTTTTTCAGAGCAGAAGGAAGAAACGAAACAAAGTTCTCGGCACTGGTGTGCCGCTGAGACACGATCCTGCAGTTGGCATCCCCTCGGTGTCATTGCGTCATTCCCACAAGAAACGAACCACTTCTGTGGTCAGACCAACCAAAACAAAAAAAAAAAAATAAAATAAAATAGGATTTATTACAGTTCATCTAACTCTTCACCGCGCTTTCCCTCTCCATTAAAACAAAAAAAAAAACCCTACCTAATAGAGCATCCTCGAACATCTTTATGTCCATGCTTTGGTTCGGTCCCTTTTTTTCGTCATCTCTCCTTCCACGTTTTCTACCGAATCACTCACAGCTCGAGCAGCTGGTGGACGTTTGCCAGGTACTCCGGCGGTGCATCGAAGGGCGGGGCGTTGTCTTCCCGCGGCCGCGACCTGCCACTCATCGTGCGGCGGTAGTACTGGTACGACGGGTCCTCGATCACCTTGCGCTGCAGCGGCTCCCTCCCGGTCCCAATGAGCCGCTCAAAGTGGCGCCGGCTTATTTTCGCCGTCCTCACGATGGGAGCTTTGGCGACGATGTCCGCCACAGTTTCGTGGTGATAGAGGAATTCCAAGTCACCAACGCACTCGCCAACTTGACAAGTGGCAACGTACTCTTCCTCACCGGACTCGCTGCGGCCAATGACATCCGCAGATCCCTCGACGATGATGTGTAGCCATTCTCCCTTTTCCCCATACGTTATGATCTTCTCGCCCTGCGTGTACCGTCCCTCCTTCAGCGCCTCTGCCATCTTGGAGCGCTCCTGTGGCGTCAGGTCCTTCAGGAACGGCACATTCTCGAGAAATGCCATGTAACGCAGACGCTTCCTTTCTGCCTCCCGCGAGGCCAGAATCTTGTATGTGTTCCGTTCCAATGTGGCACACGTTAGCGGCGCGGTGGTCTCCACGGTTATGTCACTCTCAGTTTCATACATAAGGCCAATTTCACCAAAAGACGAGCCTTTCTTCATATCTAGAGTTTTAATGTTGCCCTCCACGTCGAAAATCGTCATAGTGGCCTCGCCATTCAAAACGAGGTATAATTTGTCGTTCGGTTCACCCTTGACAATGATTTTGACGTCCTGCGGAAAGTCAATTATTTCCATCACCATTGCCACCCGCGTCAATTGGGCGTCATCCATGAAGGAGAAAAGAAAGTGTGACTCCAAAGCCTTCCGGATGGAGGCCACGTTTTCACTTGATTTTGGCGTAGGCGAAAACTCTGCGCTCATGATCTCATCCGGGTCGAGGCTTAATGCAGACACACCTGGTCGAGAGGGACGCTTCATCGTGATACGTCGGCGGCGCTCATCTTCGCCGTCTTCAAGCACATCGTCCTCACTTGAATCGTGCGTGTTTACTGTGTTGTTGAAGTCAATGGCATCTATGATCGGCGTTGCCCCAGCCCCTGTTTTCTGCCCGAACTTGAAGGTCTCGAATCCATAACGCATTGCCTCCACATCATCCTCGTCCAACTGCCCGCTCCCATTCGCCATTTCATTTTCTTCACCATTCTCTTCTACACCCTCCCCCTCCTCTGAAGCTGAGATGGCATTATGCCCATTCTTTGGGCGGTACACACGTGTGGCGGAGTTCAACGGCGTCGGCACATCTGCGTCTCTGCTTCCCTTCATATTCGCAATTGGCGGTGGGAGAGGTGGCATGCCCTGGTGATCCAGCTCATAGATTGCCTTATTCACCACTTCAGCGTACTCGTAGTCTATTTCTGCTCCAGCATTCTTTGGCTTCTCATTCTTTGGCTTCGAGTTGAGGGAGGACCTCTTCTTCTCTGAAAGCGGCCGTACAGCTGAGACCTCTTTTTTGCCTGTGGAAGACCCTTTGCTCTCCACCTTCTTATATTCATCAATGGATGTTATGATCTTCTCAAGGATTGTATGCTTATCCTGACGGCCAATTGATGCTGAAGAGATCCATTGACAGACATCCTTATCAAATTGAGACATTTTAGCGACTCCTGCCCCTACCTAGCCTAATAGCTTACGGTCTTATTATAAAGGCAAAGGAGAGAGGAACACACAGAGAAGCAGATATCCCATTGGCCACGTAAACCCCTTCTTTTACTTCTTTCACAAAAAAAAAAAAAAAA